AAATCTTTTATATATATATATATATATATAAAAGATTTCTTTCCTTAAATAACCACTTATTGGGAGTTGTCTCTTCAGTTTTCCCATAATAAAAGTCAATGGATATGGTAACTGGGTATAAGATTATGACATTAAAATTATGTCATCTTTTACTCACACTCATGTTATTCCAAATCTGTATTAATCCCTGACTTAATTTCTTTTGTGTCTCCAAAAAGAAGATATTTTGAAGAATGTTGGAAACCAAACAACACTGAAGCCAATTGTCTTCCATTATATGGACCAAAATAAAATGTCGTCTTCTATGTAACACAGAAAAAAGAAAGTCACACAGTTTTAGAAGAACATGAGGGTTAGTAAAGGCTGGAATGCACTACGTGACTTCTGAAATCTGAACAGATTTTAAAATATCAGGCGTCGTACACTTTGTAAATGCTTACAGAAAAAAACCTACACCATGCTATTATACACACAATTTTCTGTGAAATCTGTTAACTCCAGCTGCCCAAAATCTGCAGACTGGCTCTGATGTTTGGCAACTATTGTCAAATTGTCCACTCTACAAATCGGAGCAAAAATCGGGGCAAAGATTGTGTAGTATATTCCAGCCTTAAATGATGACAGAATCTTCTTTTTTGGGAGAACAATCCCTTTTAAGACCTCAATAGACTAAGAAGTGAAATGGTCTTCTCTAGACCTTTTCCATGATCACAACCCCACAGTGACACTTGAAGTTTCTCCCACATTGTTTCATTATTTTCCCTCTATCCCTTCAACAAATTAATTTCCAGGACCTCTCTCACTTCTTTTTTTCTCTCTCCATGTCTGAATGACAACCTTAAAGCTGCCTACTGGGTCATGCCGGTCCATTCACTTTAACACTCAACATCTAAAGCACACAAGCTCAATCTATCACATACCTCAGAGAAGCTCGGCCGCTCTCATATACTTCTGACTCAGGCATTTGGAGATTTAAGACCCTTCCCAGGCTGAGGGCCAGAAATATCTAATCTGTGATCATTTCGGGAGGTTATGGCCTGTATTCATCAGAGCGAGGGTGGGTAGGCTGGAAGTTCAGCAAGGTGGATATAATTTATGAGTAAGATGCAGCCCATACTATTTTCATCTAGTACTTTCTCATGATATAGCGTAACTTCAGGGCCAGTATTAGTTCATTTGAGGTCTGTGAGACCATAACAGAGCTGATGTGAGTTGATGGAAAATGCAGTAACATCTCTCGAATTGTTATATGCTAACAACCAGAGACCGTAGTTTACTTCTCTGAACTGTCTTACCTATGATTCTAGCATTGATTCTTTCCTTTCCACCTAAAACATTTCCTTGGGGGTTGATCCTAGGTATATGTGTCCCCTTGTACCTGCCTCCCTCCTCTAATGATCATTTCTTTCATCCCTCTTTATTTTAATTTGATTTTTGTATTTTTATTGATAACTGTCATTGATTTACACATCGTTGGTGGTGGTATTCATATCTAGTGATGAAGCTAAAGTATTTTTTTTTTTTGCATGCATGCATTTATATTGTCTCCACTCCTGGTCACCATTTTTAAACACTTTTGTGTTCTTAGAATGTCACTTTATACAATATTTATCAGATGTAAGTGCTTCGCCTAACAAGCTGACCATATTTATTATGTATTCAAATAGCATTTAACAATAACATATGAAATTATAATATAAGAGACTATGTAAATTCACCTTGGTCTATGAATGAAATTATATCTTTAAGGCTATTTTCTACCGTTAATCTAGGATATTCTACCGTTTTGAGGCTGCTTGGGATTCATCCATGCACAACTCTTTGCTGCTTAACCGTGTCACTCCTTATGGAGAGAAAATCTACATGACTCTGTCTGCTTATCTGGAGGTAACCAAGGCCATTCACTTATTTATATGGGGGGATGAGAAGTTCATTTGGGAGAGTTACAGACCTACATGATTTAGTTCCAACTAATTTAATGTACCAAACAGCCCACAGCATTTGTAATGGTTGAATCAAGTACATATGTGGAAAAAGAGGCAAATAGCAGTAAACTTTGTGGCTCTATAGAGTGCAACAGTGCTTGCCTACTTGAAGTAGTGGCCCTGGTTCTGTGAAGTATTTTCCTATTCACTTTTCCACAGGCATAAAAAAAAAAAAAAAATAAAAAACTTTAATAAAAAATTGTATGATGTTATGAAACAAACCAGCTCCCAGCTTCAATAAAGCATCGCAAATGATGTAATCAGTGGCGACTGATTTTAAGTATAGAAACTATGTACTTTAAGTTTCTTAGAAAATATTCAGATATGCACTATTGTTCAAATGTTTGGGGAAGATTAAAGGTTTGGAGAAGATGTAAGATTTTCGAAATGTTTTTAAATGAAGTCTCTTGTTCTTACCAAGGCTGCATTAATTTGATAAAAAAATAATAATAATAATAATAATAATATTGTGAAATATAACAATTTTATTTTTTTAAAATCTGTTTTCTATTAATATGTTTCAATGCTTATTAATTTATTCCTGTGATGGAAAAGCTGAATTTTCAGCAGCTGTTACTACACATGATCCTTCAGAAATCATTGCAATACATATATATGGTAAGCATATAAGTAGGGACTGGGTGATCGCTGTAGAGCTTGTTTGGCATCATTTGAGTTCACAGCATGAATGAGTATACACCCTCTGAAACTTAACAAATTCAGCAATTACTCGTACTTAGAAGATTATTATCCTCCAGGAGTTAAACAGCCAATTTGTCATGAACTTGTACACTCCGTACCGCTAGTACAGTAATAGAATAGTAAACATTTGTTGAATTAAATCTAGGGTGTATTCATTTTTGCAATCCTTCATTTAAACAAAATGGGCTAATTTACTTATTTTACAGATGCATCATATACAGTGCCATCAATAAACAGCATTGGAGCTCATTGTAGGTCTATTATATATAAGTTACCATTAAAAATCAATTCCTCTTTTGGAACCTGACTGTTGCACTCTATAGATGTTGCTTGTTCTTTATCAAGCTATGGTTATTTGAAACACTATTTTAGATTGAAAGGCTTACAATGGTTTGCTCTTCCCAGATAGAGAACTGCACACAGCCCACAGTGATAACCAAAGACTTATGCATGGTGTTCTACTCGAGAGACGCCAAGCTCCCAGCATCTCGCTCCATCAGGAACCTCTTCAGCAGTGGCACCTTGAGGCCATGTGAAGGGTACAGCTGCTTCATATCACCACACAAGTCCTTTACAATGTTGCTCTTGTAATTTAAGTTACCATATTGTTTTCTATTGTTTTTACGTTTAGGAACCGTGTAACTGGTGTGTATGAGCTCAGTCTGTGCCACCTGGCTGATGCAGGGAGCCCAGGTAAGACACCAGTTACCTCATGTGTGTTTCATTGAGGATTTATGGGATGCTGGGCAATTTAGATTTTAGGGGGTTCTGCTGTTGAAATGACACCTGAATGTGCAGGAATGCAAAGACGGCGCAGGAGGGTACTGGATACATCGGTGGCATATGTGCGAGGGGAGGAGAACCTGGCTGGCTGGAGGCCCCGCAGTGACAGCCTCATCCTGGACCATCAATGGGAGCTGGAGAAACTGAGTCTCCTGCAGGAGGTGAGAACATCTTGTTATTTGGTTTTTAATGTGATATAGAATTAAAAGAATGTGTCATGGCAGCTCTGCTGAGGATCTGAGAACTCATTTCCTTCTGCTGTATGTTAGGTGGAGAAAACCAGACACTACCTCCTCCTTAGGGAGAAGCTGGAGTCCACCCTGCTGCTGGGCCAGGAGTCGCTGCTGTCCTGCGGGAGTGAGGATCTAACCGAGTCCTCCTCCCCATCCACCCACCTGGGCCTGGGCCACAACCCTTGCCCCGGTCCTGACATACCCAACGAGAGGCAGAAGGAGCTGGCTGCAAAGGTGAAACAGTGACTAACCTGAAATTATATATCAAATTAAATATACATCAATTATGATAATTTAATATCCTGTATTGTCTAGTATACACAATTATTTCTTCTTTTTTTTGTAAAATATGTTTTGCAATTTTTTCTTACATTTTGGCAAAAAAATATTTTTATATATATTAATTTAATATATTTTACATTCTATTTACTATTACAATATTTTTTATTTAATAGTGATTTAATTTTATTCTATATAATTTACCATTATAATCTGATTAAGATTAAATCTAATTTTATATATTATATGAAATACTCAAAAAAATGGAATATGATATTCTAATCAATTCTGAAATTCCCTTTTACAACCTTGTTCTCATATCACCTTTGTCACCAAATCACTTTTAAAGTGGTTATTATAGTTTCTAATTTAATCTAATACTATAAATTGCTGTAATGTTCAAAATAATTCATATACAGTGATCACTTCAGGATATCATGAGAAAAAGGTTCTTGTCAATGAATTTAACATTCCCATTTCTGTTTGCCCCAACAGTGTCTTCGTTTGCTTAACCACACCTTTAACAGGGACTACAGCCATGTGTGTGTTAGCGCCAGTGAGAGCAAGGTGAAGATGCTATTTAGAATATTTTACACTATTTTACACTTTTTCCTTCTGTCAGCTATCATATGATACAGTAAGACGATTTTAAGAGGTCAGACCACTAAGAATATACTGCCTTAAAGGGATAGTTCACCCAAAAATGAAAATTAGCCCATGAATTACTCACCCTCAAGGCATCCTAGGTGTATATGACTAGGGTTGCAAAAAGGTGGAAAATTTCCAGTAAATTTCGGAAATATTCCAGAAATTTTGGAAACTTTCCAGAAATGTTCCACCCCTTTGCAACCCTATATATGACTTTCTTCTTTCAGACGAATCCAGTCGGAGTTATATAAAAAATTGTCTTTGATCTTCCAAGCTGTTTAATGGCAGTCAGCGGGTGTTGCAGTTCATCAGTCCAAAATAAGTGAAATAAAGCGCATCCATCTATAATAAAAGTGCCTCACATGGCTCTGGGGGGTGAACAAAGGCCTCCTGTAGAGAATCAATGCATTTTTGTAAGAAAAATAACTAATAAATATTTTATTCAAATATAAATATTTTAAATATTTATTAAATAATAAATATTTAAAACGTAATAATCAATTTAATCTAGCTTGCGCACACGGAAGCAGCTCCGGGCGGATGACATAAGACGTCGGCGTTGCGCATGCACCTCTCAGAAGTGACGAATGCAGGAGCGCAGAGGAGAGATCAAAACAAAACAACGGTCATGAATTAGAAGTACAAAACGAGGATTTGTAAAGAAGAATGTCGGAGGATTTCTATATAAGCCAAGAGGAGACTGGTTTTCCTTTGCTAAAGTAAGGAAACGTTGCTTCCTTTGCTCCTGTTAACAAATGTTGGTTTTCACGAGACTTACCGGCGCATGCGCAACGCCGACATCTTACGTCATCCTCCCGGAGCTGCTTCCGTGTACAACTGTTGGCGCAAGCTAGATTAAAGTGATTATTACGTTTTGAATATGGATATTTTTCTTACAAAAATGCATTGACTCGCTCCAGGAGGCCTTTGCTCAGCCCCCGGAGCCGTGTGAGGCACTTTTTATTATGGATGCATGCGCTTTATTTCACTTCTTTTGGACTGATGAACTGCAACACCCGCTGACTGCCATTAAACCGCTTGGAAGATCAAAGAAACATTTTTATATAACTCCGACTGGATTTGTCTGAAAGAAGAAAGTCATATATAGGGTTGCAAAGGGGTGGAACATTTCAGGTAAATTTCTGGAATCTTTTCAAAAATCCCTGGAATATTCCAAAAAAAAATCCTGGAAAGTTTCCAAAATTTGTGGAATATTTCCGAAATTTACTGGATATTTTCCACCTTTTTGCAACCCTAGTCATATACACCTAGGATGCCTTGAGGGTGAGTAATTCATGGGCTGATTTTAATTTTTGGGTGAACTAACCCTTTAAAAATGTTCAGACTTATGTATTCTGGAAATATAAAAAGAGTTTTTACTATTGCTGCAGAAACATACAGAAATGTTTGTGTGAAGGTGTGTGTTTGTGTTCTGTGTATAATGACTGATTTCTCTGTTGTGCTTTGTTGTAGTTGAGCCAGATGTCAGTAACTCTTTTGAAAGACTCTGCCTCAGTGTGTGCTGAAAACACCCTTACCCCGTCCTCCACATGCCCCTCATTGGTGGAGGGACGCTATGGCCACAATGCTGAACTCAGGTCAGTACTCAGTGACTTCTGTTTTATTTTGAGTTTTAAAAGAATTTAATTTTAAAGGTGATTCTGCAACACAAACCAAATGGAATTGCAAAAACAAAAGTAAAAAAAGTTTTTTTAATCCTTTCGTAGTCTGCCATTGATCAGAATGACAGATAGTCCTGTCCTAAATTCATGCTTTTGATAAAGCTAATGCTTTATCCTATAAAGGTATTATATACCTATAATATAAATCATTCACAGGTATTTCTGTATATTAAAGGGTTAGTTCACCCAAAAATGAAAATTCTGTCATTGATTAATCACCCTCATGTCGCTCCAAACCCGTAAGACCTTCGTTCATCTTCAGAACACAAATTAAGATATTTTTGATGAAATCTGAGAGCTTTCTGACACTGCATAGACAGCAAAGCAACTGACACGTTCAAGGCCCAGAAAGGTAGTAAGGACATTGTTAAAATAGTCCATGTGATATCAGTGGTTCAACCGTAATGTTATGAAATTACAAAACTACTTTTTGTGTGCAAAGAAAACTAAAATAACAACTCTATGCAACAAATTCTTCTCTGCTGTGTCAGTCTTCGACGCGTGTTAAAGAGACTAGCACGACGCAGTGGTACTCTCATGAACAAGCGAAGACTGACACGGAAGAGAAGAAATTTTTGAATAAAGTCGTTATTTTTGTTTTCTTTGCACAATAAAAATATTCTCGTAGCTTCATAACATTAAAGTTGAACCACTGATATCAAATGGACTATTTTAACGATGTCCTTACTACCTTTCTTGGCCTTTAACGTGTCAGTTGCTTTGCTGTCTATGCAGTGTCAGAAAGCTCTCGAATTTCATCAAAAAAATCTTAATTTGTATTCCGAAGATGAACGAAGTTCTTACGAGTTTGGACATTAGTGTTAGTAAGAATTTTCATTTTTGGGTGAACTATCGCATTAAAATAGGAGAAATTATTTTAACATTAAGAAAAATCTTTACATGTTTTTAAATATGTCTGCCAAATATTGATCCACATGAAATGCTATCTAACCATCTATATGCCATCTATATTCTTATTGCTCATATGTGCAGACCCCCAACACCTCGATCTCGTGCTCTCAGCCCCATCCCTGACTCTGAAACAGAGAGCAAAATGTCTCCTCAAGAGTCCAAATCAAGAACCCACACTTTTGTGCCAGACATTCAGGAAATCCGTGTCAGGTAAAAAAATAAATTGTACAGATTATACAAATTGTTTATTGTTCAGAGGATGAACAATTCCTTTTTATGTTATATTTGCCTGAATATGAAATTTGAGATTTAAGGAATTTGCATCTTTGGAAGTTAACTCTAACCTGTACCCTATTTTATTGTTGAAGCCCAATTGTGTCAAAGAAAGGTTATTTGCACTTCCTGGAGCCCCACAGTAATGGCTGGGTTAAGAGATATGTGGTGGTACGCCGGCCTTATGTCTACATCTACAACACAGAGAGAGACACAGTGGAAAGGGCCATTCTTAACCTGTCCTCTGCACAAGTGGAGTACAGCGAAGACCAGCAGGCAATGCTGAAGGTGAAACATTTATTCATTTATTTTTGAAAAAGTCAGTCTCTTCCAAAGCAACACATTGTGAGTAAATCGACTATTTATAGACTGAACTGTAATTCGCCTTTTGAATACCAGCAGGCCATGCTGTAGGTGAAGCATCTGCAAATAAATATTTTTTCTTATTCTAATCAATTTTCTTATTGTTTTTTTTTTTTTAAGTCAGTCACTTTTAAGGGAACATATTGTGTAATCTACTGTTTATAGACTGAACTGTAAACCAATGTTTGAATACCAGGAGGCCATGCTGAAAGTGAAACATTTGAAACTTTTATTTTATTTTATTCCAAGGCAACACATTTTCAGTAAATCGACTGTTTATAGGCTGAACTAATTCAATGTCTGTCTAAACTGCAGATGCCCTACACATTTGCGGTATGCACAGAGCATCGTGGGATACTCCTTCAAGCCAGTAATGACAAGGAGATGCATGATTGGCTGTATGCCTTTAACCCTCTGCTTGCTGGATCTATCAGGTACAGTAAAGCACACATCTAAGCCTTTTAAAGACCTGTCATACCAATATTTATTCGACTTTCTCTTTCTTATCAGGTCTAAACTGTCAAGAAGAAGAGCTGGGCAGATGAGGTTTTGAGCCCACTACATGTATACCTTCTGTACAACTCCTCGAGGACAAAAAACACAAAGGACTAACCTTGTAAATAGATCTACTGACAGATCCCCCAGTTTCTGTGCTTACTCAACTCTCTGACCCTCTGTTTCCTACATGTGTGTACCTGCACCTGCTCACACTAGCACCAACTGTGCACCTGTATCTTAAAGGCCCCTTTGTTGTGCATCTACAGTGGCCTAAATATACAACTTATAGCGCCAAGAGAACAGGCGAACTACTTTATTGGGGTAGAGATAGTATGCTTATGTAGTCTTCAGCAACATTTTAGAAAGCAGGTGATGGGAATTTCTAATTCTGAAGCTGTCAGCTCATGCAAACACATCTGAATTTGTTACTGTGAAGAGTGACGTCCATATCTTGGGTTTGTGGGGAAATGGATCACATGGCCTTACTGTGTTACTCTATGGGTTTAAAACGATAAAACTGGTCAGTATTTAAATCAGCAGACCATATGTTTATTCATCTCTTGGCTATGGAAGATAGAATTGATCAATGATACGCAGTTCTTAGCAAGGAGCAGATGAATCACATCATATTACGCTCTTACTCTCTTTAAGTGCAGTTCTTGGACACAGTTCAACCCATCATAAATACTCATATACCTTTATAATGTTTCCCTTGTATGGCCTTGAAATGCATACAGTTTTCAAAATAACCAGGACGCATTAGCGAAAATTTGGCTAAGGAGAATGGTTGCATTCTCATGTCTCTGTATGAGAACCATTATAAAGATTTGGCCTATTTTTGTTGGAGTACTGGTTAGTAGATTTATCTAAAATGTATCATAAAAATGTATCGGTATCCCCAAATGATCTAATTTACTTTGAAAATTTCTATTAAAGTCTTATCTTGTTAGGTATTTATTTAACATGTTTTTATTTATTTCAGTATGTATTTATTGACAAAGACTGTAATATTTTTTGAAGAAGTACAGTGCAATTTCTGCATATGGCACTTTTTTATCATGAGTTGACTAACCTCCCTTTTACTGACCGCACTGCTCTCATTTCCCCCCACACAGTGAAATGCATTTGGGGAACAGGTTAGAAGTGAATAGCTGGGATAGCTGCTATTACATGTAGATTACTTGAAAATGAAAAATGCTTTTTGCAAGATTTATCAGGTTGAGTAAAATAATCATTCTTGCCCAGACTCAGAAATGAGCGTTTGTACAGTGGTCAGTCTTGGAAAATGGAAGGTTTAGAAGTTTGTTAGAACAAATCAAATGTACAGTACTGATGGAATTTTCTACACACACCCTAGAGAGTGAGGAGATATGATTTTGTGCCTCTTGCATCCTCTACTCTGTTTTTGTTTTACAATTTCCATCATCTTAATCCCTGTGCGCTTCTTTAACAGGGTGAATGTCCACTTTAAGGCCCACTTATGCTACCACCCTTTCTCTTTGTGTGTAATCATTCCTGTGCACAGGCAAAAGCAGTTTTATTTATTTTATTTTTTTTAATTTTGCATATTTGTGACCCTGGACCACAAAACCAGTCATAAGGGTCAATTTTTCGAAATTGAGATTTATACATCATATGAAAGCTGAATAAATAAGCTTTTCATTGATGTATGGTTTGTTAGGATAGGACAATATTTGGCCGAGATACAACTATTTGAAAATATGGAATCTAAGGGTGCAAAAAAATCGAAATATTGAGGAAATCGCCTTTAAAGTTGTCCAAATTAAGTCCTTAGCAATGCATAGTACAGTAGGAAATTTACAAAATATCTTCATGGAACATGATCTTTACTTAATATCCTAATGATTTTTGGCATAAAAGAAAAATCAATAATTTTGACCCATACAATGTATTTTTGGCTATTGCTACAAATATACCCCAGCGACGTAAGACTGGTTTTGTGCTCCAGGGTCACATTTAGTTTGTATATTGCACTTATATATTGCCCTACATTTGACTAGGTTTTGAGATTTCTAAGCATATCTAGATGGTGTAAATTATTTTTCTTAACTGATTTCACATACAAATTAACAAAACTGATCTATTTATTCTGCCAGAAAAAATAAAACATCATCATGGACTCTAGAAATAAGCCCTGCTGCTGTCATTGTTCCAAGCCTTGATTTTTTTGTGATTGTAATTACATAAAATATCCGATAAGCTAATACATGCAACACGATACATTTTAAATTCCATTTTCTGGTTTTAAAGTCATCTCCGGTATGATTGTTCTGCTTAATGTCAATAGGCTTAGGCAATAGGCTTAGGCAATAGGCTTAGTGCAAACCCCATCAAACAGGCAACCGTCTGAGTTGAGATTGCTGATAGCTGTTTAACTTCAGCCAAATTACTGTTTTTGGAATATGAAACCACATTTTTAAGTTATATAATACCAACAGCTGTGATTTAGACACTTTGTAGTGCAAAAGCATTTGTTAGAAGGTGGAGTTCTGTGGGGCAGTCACTGCAGCAGAGCCCATATGTCCACTATTATTAGTCCAGAAGGCTTATAATGTGGTTTGGGATGTCCGGATGATCCTGCAGGTTACCTAAGACATGGTTTTCCTCCATACCTGTATATTTAGAATGCAGATCAACTATTTGCAAACCTGAGGTTCCTCCAGGGCAGGATTCAGGCATATCCGCATGACAAAGGCCAGCCAACCTTCAGCACATGCTGAGTATAGCAAGAATCGGACACTGAACTAACCTCTATTGAAAGCCTTGATCTGTATATGAACAAACATCAAAGATCTACATTTCTATTTCCAAAAAGTGGGTTTCTGTTTCTATGAAAAAGTGGAGTTCTGCTTGTTTGTAAATGCAGAACGCATATCCTTGAAGGTTCTCTGTTTATGAAAAATAGTTAATACACTTTTTGTTGTTGCAATTTTCATGAGTATATCTCACTTCCCTGTCATGACCAGTTCCAAGTAATAGAAGCAATGCCACTACTTTTAGAAAAAAAGTGTGTATGTTAATAGTAATAGCAGATGCATTTTTAAAATAAGTGAGAACAAAATTATTTAAAAATCTAGTTAAAAGAATCACTTTCAGTTTGGTTTTTTTAGGTTTTTTTTTGTCTGTGCACTTTGTAGAATGTAATGCGGAAAGCTGAATGGTATTCTTCATGTTATAGCCTGTCCTGTACCATTTCTACAAGCAATTTGTTTGTTTCAAGGCTTAAAACATTGCATTCATTTTACCATCTCCCAAAATGAAAGAATGAATCAGTTCTCATAATCAACACCAAATATTTGTGTGCTTCCTCTTATGCACTCCACTCATAAAATATTTTTTCTGTAATTTTCTCTGTTTTACTTTACTTGTATATAAACATGATTGCTGTGAATGGTGTAATATGCAGTTGTAACTGGTTTGTACCATCTTCAATGGGCAGTAGTTTAATGTTTCTTTCTGAGTGTTGAAATTATGAGTCAAATGTTTGTGGACACCTAACACATCGTCAGATATGAAATAAATGTGGAACTTATGCAACGCTATGAATGACTTTGTTTTTTGTGTGTGATTCAAGCCATTATTTTATGCATGAGAAAATAGAAAATCTCAAGTTGAATGTATCCCTGATTTTATATATAAAACGTATGGAAGCCTCTTTCCATCATGTAAAAAACAACAACAATAAAACTGGTCAATTTTGGTGACTATTTATTTCACAATTCTGACTTAAGTTTGTCACATTTACGAGATAACATCTCGAAATATTTTTTCTTCTCAGAATTGCTTGTAAACATCTCAAAATTCTGGCTTTTTCATTAAATTCTAAGTTTACATCTCATAATTTTGATGTTTTTTATTGGAATTCTGAGTTTACTTTTTTTAAACTAATTTTGTCAATGAAAACAAAATAAAGTTAGAATTGTGAAATAAAGCATCTTTTATTTTTGTATTACTTGCAAGCTTTTATTGAATTACAAGCTTCCATAAAAATAGAGGCCTAAATACAGAATGGTAGACAGAATTCTGAGATTTAAAGGGATAGTTCACCCAAAAATGAAAATAATATAATTAATTACTCACCCTCATGTCATTCCAAACTTGTAAGACCTTTGTTCATCTTCGGAAGACAAATGAAGATATTTTTGATGAAATTGGAGAGCTCTCTGACCCTCCCATAGACAGCAAGGGTTCTACCACGATCAAGGCTCAGAAATGCAAGGACATCGTTAAAATAATCCATGTGACATCAATGGTTCAACTGTAATTTTATGAGGAGAATACTTTGTGCGCAAAGAAAACAAAAGTAAGGATTTTATTCAACAATTCGTCTTCTCCAATTCGTCGAGGAGGAGACGAATTGTAGAATAAAGTCGTTATTTGACAGCCACAATCTCATATTGCTATAAAATATAGCATTCTGTGTAGAAATCAAATGGGTCCATTAAGTTTAATGGTCTGTGCCGACTCGTGCATATTATCCGCTCTGTGGACCGGAACAGACTGCATGCACGGTGCGGCGGTTAGCGTGACACAGCGCGAAACGTCTCAGGTTACTTATGTAACCATGGTTCCCTGAGTAGGGAACGAGACACTGCGTCCTCTAGGGGTCCTCTAGGGGTCGCTATGGGGAACGCCTCGTCGTGACCCGTGTCTGAAGCATACATTGAAAAAACACCAACTCGTTGGCCGGCGACAGCCATGACGTCACTACCGGTGCGACTCCAGTATAAATCGGCGCCGGGAGCTACACATCATTCACTTCTTCGTCTGAAGCTTGCGTCCGCAGCATGGCAAGAAACCTAGAGGACGCAGTGTCTCGTTCCCTACTCAGGGAACCATGGTTACATAAGTAACCTGAGACGTTCCCTTTCATGGGAACTTCGAACTGCGTCCTCTAGGGATCGCTATGGGGAATGGTATACCCACGCCACCATGCTGAGGGGAGTGCAAGCCAGAACCATGGCGAGCACTAAGAACCAACTCTACCATATTGCTATGGGAGTTGCCCCTGGGACGTTTAGACGGCTGTCAGTGACGTTATTCCCTACGGCCAAAGGCCTAGGCTACATACCCCAAAAAACTTACCTGTTAGGGCCAGACTCCTGGGCCCGGGGTAGAGCTCAAGGCTTGGAATCAGAAACAGATTCCTTTAAGGGAATACGACCAAGAGCCTAGAATCATACTAGTCTTGGTCTGTCACACAGGGGCTACCGCACGTTTGTCTTGTGGTGAAGGAACTGTCTCAACAGATCCTTAGTAGCAATACCCTGTTAAGTAGGTATCCAGAGGATACATAGGGGGAGTGGTGCCCAAGGCAGAACCGGGGTTTTAAACCACTCAAAAAGAGCACGAAGTCTTGCGCGTAGCTCTTACCATACAGGATTTTTAGAAAAGTGGGCAAAGCATAACGTGCGCACTTACCAGCTATGTGGATTTTAGAAAAGTGGGCAAAGCATAACGTGCACACTTACCACTTATGTGGATTTTAGAAAAGTGGGCAACAGCAAGGGTTCTACCACGATCAAGGCTCAGAAATGCAAGGACATCGTTAAAATAATCCATGTGACATCAATGGTTCAACTGTAATTTTATGAGGAGAATACTTTGTGCGCAAAGAAAACAAAAGTAAGGACTTTATTCAACAATTCGTCTTCTCCAATTCGTCGAGGAGGAGACGAATTGTAGAATAAAGTCCTTATTTGACAGCCACAATCTCATATTGCTATAAAATATAGCATTCTGTGTAGAAATCAAATGGGTCCATTAAGTTTAATGGTCTGTGCCGACTCGTGCATATTATCCGCTCTGTGGACCGGAACAGACTGCATGCACGGTGCGGCGGTTAGCGTGACACAGCGCGAAACCAGACTTAATTCGCCCCAACAGAAAGCATATTTACACCGTCTGAATCGTTCCCTATCCCCTATGTAATGCACGTGCCATTCACGGAACAGAAAATACAAATCCTGTGAACAAGTGACCGATTTGAGCCGCAGCTTCAGCGGCTATTTATAGTGCAGGGGCGGGACGCTTCGGGTTTTAGAGAGCGTTTGATCGGACAGAAAGTTTGATGAGAAGCTGAAGTGCAGTGTGATATCAAAATCGCTGACATTGGCGGAAGTGAGAGACTGTAAGTTTTGAATGCTTATATCTTGTAAAATGTCATCTGGTGTCAAATAGCGCTGACACGGATGCACACACCTTCTAAATGCTCTACTAGTGCTCGCCATAATAAATAGATAGCTCTTACTTTTTCCTTGAAAATGCACGCTTCAAACAGAACAGTCAATGAAGACGAAGAAGAGAATGATGTGTAGCTCCCGGCGCCGATTTATACTGGAGTCGCACCGGTAGTGACGTCATGGCTGCGAGGCGTTCCCCATAGCGACCCCTAGAGGACCCCTAGAGGACGCAGTTCGAAGTTCCCATGAAAGGGAACCAGACTTAATTCGCCCCAACAGAAAGCATATTTACACCGTCTGAATCGTTCCCTATCCCCTATGTAATGCACGTGCCATTCACGGAACAGAAAATACAAATCCTGTGAACAAGTGAC